TGTAATATTATACTCATCGTAGGACTACACATTTTGGACAAATGTGAGTTGTAAATTTGGCAATAAAGTTCAAGTGATTGGGTGCAGTTGAACTATGTTAGCAACTGTTCGATACCCGGAAGTAAAAGTTAGACCCTGGAGTCTTGATTTGTGGGGTTCACCGGCAATATTCTGCCAGACAGTGACGTCCCCCGATTCTATCACGCAAAATACTATAAGCTTTGAGCCGTACCAAGAATCGATTTAATGGGTCAAAAACAGCGTCTCTAATGGAATTGTTAAAAATATTGATTGTAATAGAGGAACGGCCACGGCAGCAACGTTCAAATGAAAATCCACTTATATATTTTAAAATATACTTTTTTTACTCGATCAATAAATTTCCAAATCACCTCAATGGGTCATATAGGCTATCCAGGTCGGTTTATTTATCATGGCACAGAGTTATAGTGAAGTGGGCACCAGTAATTTTGTATCGGTCAGTGTCCGTTTCAAGTTTTATGTCAACTAGTTTCCATCCTTAAATACAATGTAAGTAGTAGTCGAACACTGGAAATCTGAATGTTTCCGCATGACATACCTGCAACTACCCTGCAGCTATCTCTTTCCTAGCATTGGCATAAATACCGTGTTCTGCGGTTGACATTTCGGCATCAGCTTGCCGAAATCTCGTGATATTTCGCATACTTCTCGCATTACTTAGCCACTACTCGTACAACGTGCATAATGTAATGTGGGTTGCGTATTACAAAGAGCACTAGTCACCAACCAGCTTACGATTATGCCACTCAGTCACATTACGTTCCTCCTTTTCCCGCAAGATCAACATTAATTTCATTTACCGGTATAATCCTTATTTTGCATCAGCCTACTTAAAATTTCCCTGCCAAACTATCGATGCAATCTTCATTAATCTATGATAAAATAATTTTAGATAACGATCGTGTATCGTTTTCTTTAATGATATAAATGTATATCAACAAATTCTTGTTACTAATCTCGGTCTAGCGTGCACGTCTACTTTCAATAATGTACTATAGAGTATGTGTGAAGAGCATGACACCATCACCGTGAACGATCACAAATAAAATTAAGCCTTCAATCGTCGGCCCTAAGAACAAAGAAAGGCATTCGAGCGTGTAAACTCGATTCCTTCTTGATGTGCGCTGATACAGTGTATGTGTTCTTGTGCTGTTTACTTTGTACGGTATAAGGCTTCGTGTAGCTACAGCTTCTTGTCACGGCTTTATTTTTAAACACGTTCTTCATGCTAGTCCAATATTGATTCCAAAACATTTCGTATAAGAATGCAGTCGACTTCAACGTCCTCAATTTTTGCTTACTTGCTCCGCCGCGAGCGCAAGATCAGCGTTGGTCAGTATATTTGAACAGGCTATAAAATCTTAATTTGCACGAGTGTGACACAAATTCGGGGCACGGAATGTCTGTTGAACGCGGTAGAAACGCGGTCGAGATCTTATACCAGTTAAGGTTTCCTTCTTTAACCATTGCCGTATCAAGGTTTTGTAGGCATGCTTCACTTTTGACCTTATATAATTCTGTGCCATTGTCGATAAATCTAGCAACAGTTATTTCTTTTAGCTTATAGTATTGTCGCTGTACCAATTTTTTTAGGACAGCACTACAAAAGACGTTTTACTTAGCGCGTTGTAACTCACACAAATATCATGGTCGAAAGCCTTCCAGCTTAGAATAGCAAAAATCGATGGTGATAACTACCGACCCACGATTGTGTCCAATGCAAGATATCTTCGAACATTCTTGAATCTTTAGACACTCCAAAACATTCATCAGATGGCCAGGTGGAAAGCATCGTTGGGGATAGATGCTGCCAGCTGATTCATTATTAACATTTTCTAAGCCATGGTAGATCAAAGATGACATCAAATTCGTCAACCAAGTTCAGTGCAACTGAATTTTCATCTTACTGCTCCGCTTCTATAATCGTAGTATATATCCACAACACGTGTGTTCACTGTTACAGTATATGCCTATTTCAATGAGCACCCTCATCCTTTGAAAGGAATTTTGCGCTCAACATACTTAATCCTACGACTTTCCTCGAGCGACTTGCGTTCCATGAAACAACACAACGACCCACATTCAACTAGGGCTCGCAGTTACAAGTTTTTATCTACTTCTATATTCTAACTGATTAATGAAACCTTATCACCAGGGTCCGTAACACATAGTGACTGATTGCTTTGGTCACAACTTTTGTTAAGAAGCCCGCATTTTAAATTGGCGTTGCTTGATCAGCAGGTATTCCGTTTCCACCGGAATCGAACGTTTTTAGAGGTCCGCCTCGTTGTTGCGGTTTTGCAGCAACGCCGGGCCGCGTCAAGGACTCTTCGTGGTTGTGGGATGGAAATTACGTACGGTAGTACGTAACACCTGGTTTCGAGGCACTACAATCATTGGTTTTAAGCCCCATGCTTTAAAAAGGGTTGAATTACTACAAACGTTTGCATCGAAGTGCGCGGGTACGCTCGATCTCCACGTGATAGAGGTCCATCGCTTCTACACCTTCTCTTTTTCGCCGTCTGGATGGACGATACGTAGACGAGGTAGTTTGAGCCTGTCTTAAACTAAATGCTTACTGTTCCACCACTGTGATAGCATAATCTAGTGACTTCAATTAAATGCATAACAGGTGGGTATTTACGGTACCATCCGCGCAAAACACTGGTTGAACATAATGATTTTATTGTAATCATTTAATCATGTAGGCAATACTACAACTCGAGCAATATTTGAACCGCTGCACTTAAGCAGGCCAATCGAGTTACCCTGTTGTAGTTGTTGAAAATCAGCACGACCTTTAAAATGTGCTCGTGGCGGCTCAAGTTTTTGTCTGAGCCAAGTCGTTACGACATCTTACAACCCAAATACAAATAAGTCGTGCAGCTTGAGCCTTATAGCTTAAGTTTTAGTACCTCCTGTCAAGTTAGATCGATCAAATGCAACTTCCATTTGCTCATCCTCAATACGACGAGCCCTTATTACATCGTCTAGTTTGACGCCTTCTGCTTAGAGATATCAAACTTTAATGAAACGGGACGACAGTAGCGATGATCCGCTCACAGCATAATCAAATTGCTGCTTTCTCAATTGATATGTGATCTGAGCACCGGTTTATCTCCACTGGTCGGTCTGTTGCTAGCTTTTCGGTGAAGCAAGACTACCTTGTACCTGTCGGCAAACACTTCAAGCTCAATAAACTGGTTGATAATGGCGTGTTGTTAATTTCTGTCTAGAGACGCATACATGGTACCTATGTCGATGTCGCCAACGGTAGAACTCATGCGTTCTACCGCACTCCATTCGATGTCACTCAAATGGATCAATCCTTCACGCAATGCGTGATAGATTTTCCGTTTACCATATAACATGATCATGTTGGACGAGACGCCCATGGTCACTGGGCGGACCACAAAGTGCTACCAGGTGTAATGGGGCGTGCTTCTTACCCCTTTACTTATTAGCCCTTGTTCCGTACATTACAAGGTTTTGCGCTCCCAAAACATCACGTGCGACATGGATGTAGATGATGTGAAAAATCTGAGCATGAGCTGCTTAGAAGGAAAGACAAGTAAAACTACTACTTGAATATACTTTAAGTCTTCTTAAATAAATCTTCCTCATCTTCCTTGAACCATACTAAACTACAAACTATCAATGTTTAATCTCGCTCGCCACCTATTGAGCCAGCAGCGGTTGGTTACCACATACACCTATTTGGTACTATCATGGCTTATATCAACCAATTGTGAAGCGGTGCCGAAAATTACGTCGAAAGGTATTACGGTTTCAATTATGACTCGAAAGGGTAAATATCGTATAATATAATCAATCAAGATAATGTTTGCATTGACACAATTCCTGCCGATGACATGTAACAGACTCATCGTGTTACATCTGGTCGATTAGCGCAACAATGGATGCGGCTGCATTTGACTTAGTTAATCAGTTGGTATTCTTCACTCAAAGGTGGTACATTGAAAGGCATGAGAGCACGTGATGCCGACATTTCGTGCCGAGATGGTAATCAGACTAATACTTACAATAGGGTCATCGAAACCTTGGCAAAACTCGAGTGTTTTGGGCCATCGTGAACGGGAACATTATTTGCTGTTATCAGCACACCTTGCATCAATTTTGTATAATAGAATTGGTTTGCAAAAAACCAGCGCCCATAAAGTAGTTTATTCGTAATGTTGCTTTTCGGCAGTAAGCAGCACTTGCTTGCGAGGTAATTCGACCAAACAGGCACTCCGTTTGCTGAGTACTATAGAAAAACGGCCATGATTCGTAATTTGTGTCACTGCATCGGTAGGAATATGGAGTGACCGGAGCTCCCAACATCTTTTTGCTTCATCGATGCACATGAACGAGCAAGCATTTGGTGAGGTGTACGATAGTACTGTGGAGAAAAAAGCCTTCGCGAGGGGTGTGATACGTGCGCCTAAGCAAGTCCTACGTGACGTGAGGATTACGCGCCACATCACGGTTGGTTCCTGCTGATTGATTTTAAAGGAGCTGTTTGAACTCATCAAGCACGAACGTAGCACGTACAAAGTTAAGGAAAACACCAGGCGGAGTCGGTTGATGAATAAAAGCGTTTACGCGTGCATGCGCGACGCGCCATGGATGTGAAATCCTAAACGTGAACAGGCTCGTGCCTGAGCGAAACCCTGTTGGGGTCGTGTATCTCACTGCTTGCTGTTCGTCGAATCTGCAGACGAACTTCATATCCTGACGTGACAATTCAACAGGGGATACGAAAACGTCTCAAGATCAACTTCAACAAAACAAAAAAGTCAATTCAAAAAATCACACAGTTATGCAAAGAAGCGCGAGTCTATCTACCGTGGGATTCCAGCACCAAAGTGGCACCGAAGCGGTCGTAGTCGAAGGCGCAAATGCCAGGTAAACCTGGCATGGTCGCTGAATGCACTGATCCGACTTCGTTCGCCAGATCATTTGGCAGAGCGTAGTTTTGCATTCCAAGCACGCTCCAAATTCTTTTCGAATTTGTCGTCGCTCATGGGCATCAACTCGTTTTCGTTCCACCCATGTTTGTTGAGTGCGCATCGGGCGTGATCGGACATCTCGTGCCACACAACCAGATCTGGGGACCTGCCAATGTCAGTAGACAACGTAACGAAGTGCCTGTCGCCATGGGCTTCGTACTCGAGTTGGGGAACGCCATCGGCGAAATACTTCGGATCGATGTCGACAAAGTTGTATCTCTCGACCTCCCTTCCCAACACCGACACCGCCTCGATTCGTGACACATTGACGTCAGGGTTGTTGAGCCAGATGACGACCCACTCCCAGTCGTAACGGTGGCCCTTCCCACTGACGACCGAGTCTTTTGGAAAGAAATAGGCGTACATGATGGCCCAATGGTGATACTTCCACATCGAACGCGCGTATACTTGATCGCCCAGCGCAGCTCCCGCGCAATTGCCGTTTGCTTTACCCGTAGCTTTGAGACCGCCACTGACCATTCCATCTATGTTCACCGCAGGGTACGGGCTGCATCCGTGAGAAATGTGGAGCGTGGGGTTGTACTTGTGGGCCGCACACTCGGTAAACGATTTGGGTTCTTTCTCAGGAAACGGGGCCACTTGGTCGTGAGGCATCTTCTGCTCTCCACAATATCGTGGCTGCACTTGGGGCAAGACCGCGAGCAGAGCGGCGTACAAGAAAGCGGCAGACCTCATGGCAGTGTATTGCCGCGTTGCGTCTTGGAGCAGGAGAATTGAACAATGAACGGAACTGGAACTGCTGGAGAAGCGGAGCAACGACCCCTCAGAACAATCGACAATTGATTGCCTAGCGCAGGCAATCCTCTTCGATGAGGTATGTGTACGCATGTTTGCTCTTGACGTTTCTGTGTACGGCGACGAGCGGACGACACACGGCGGACTCAGCCGTACGTCCATGTTGCATGCACTTTGTACTTGCATGGACTCGCATAAAGAGCGCTAGACACTTGATACGTGTAGCGTGGTCTAAAACATTCCGTCACGACAAAGAGCGTGTTTCCCAGCTCGTGGCGTTGAACATGCGCGACCACACACAGGAAGGGGGTCGTCTGTGCATAGGGCGTAGCACCTGTTTTGCACGTCGGGGCGTCGCCGAAAGCATACGACATACGATAATAGTGGATAGTTCACATATGTGTAACTCACCCTCTCTGCAGCTCATGCGAATTCAGCCGCACGTTTCGCAAGGAGCACACGACACCCCACAGAAGTAGATTGACCGTGCAAAGTGTGTGCAGTCCATGAAGTCGTAAGGAGCGAACGACACATCGCAGTAGTGGATAGGTAAGGGACAGCGTAGCACAGTTTGTGCGGCTCCGGCGAGTCCAGCCGCATGCTTTCGCATCGCAGACGATCGCATGTAACGTCTGTCCATGTGTTTGCCGCTGTGTGGATTTTGCTCGCGAGCCTTAGTTGTATGCTGAGCCATTGATCAGGTCCGTTTAATAAGGTTTCTATCTGCATGAGATCCCGCCGAGACGTGCATACGAACTCTCTCGCTCTTTCTCTCTCATTGTTTTAGCTCGATCCCGATGTTTTGCTCGATAAACGCTTTCCACTCGTTTAAGAAGTACGTCTTAGTCGCGCTTTTGTGACGATCCTGCTCGAGCAGCTCGCATACTTTCGGTACACATACCGCATTTTCTGGGTGTCAACTAGACAACCAACAATCGTAGGCGCAATCAGCTCCTTGTGGTTCGCTGCATTTTACAGGGGCGATGCACTTCTACAAAAGTATGCATTTTGCGTTTTGCAACTTTATGAACTGCAAAGAACGTGCTTGCCGGAGCCGCACAAACTGTGCTACGCTGTCCCTTACCTATCCACTACTGCGATGTGTCGTTCGCTCCTTACGACTTCATGAACTGCACACACTTTGCACGGTCAATCTACTTCTGTGAGGTGTCGTGTGCTCCTTGCGAAACGTGCGGCTGAATTCGCATGAGCTGCAGAGAGGGTGAGTTACACATATGTGAACTATCCGCTATTATCGTATGTCGTATGCTTTCGGCGACGCCCCGACGTGCAAAACAGGTGCTACGCCCTATGCGCAGACGACACCCTCCCTGTGGTGCGTAGTAGCTCGTTTGTCTCCACAACCAACACGTCGCTCAGCGGCAATCCCTCATACATCGGAACAAAAACGTCGATCAAGACATCCGGCTATTTTAACAATATTCCTCGGGCTAGTACAACACTGCAGCAGCGTCTATTCCACCGAGAGACACGACCGGGCAAAAGTGTCGATTGAGCTAGTACAACACTGCCGAGCATCCGTCGGGCCAACACAACTGTATAACAGCGTCCATCGGGCCAGTACAAGCAACAGCAGCGTCTAACCCCGGCATAAACGATCGTACAACAGGGTCCAACGATCGAACCAGCACAATACTACAGCAGCGTCTGTTTTTTCGAAAGACGAGACCGTGCATCAGCGTCGATCGAGCCAGCACAACTGTGCGTTAGCGTCAATTGAAACTGTAACGGGGCAGCCCGTTACATGATATTGTCACTTAAGGAAAGTGACAATAAAGAATATAAGATGGATATTCTTTAAACAATATCACCAAAGTGGTGATATTGAAGGGTCGACCAAAGGGTCTGTTCATTGGTTGATATCGTGATGATATCAACCCACCAATCGCCGCAAGACGCGCAATGAGTGGTGACGAGACGTCACCATACATGCAGTTATATTAGTATAATTGAATTAAGTCAAACGAAGAGACAGTAGTTTAAAGACTTAATTTATTAATATAACAGTTCTACTTTTACCCTACCTACGCTTCCTCGCTCGCCACGTGTACGTCCGTCGGGGCACCCAAATCCCTTGCGTTAAGTTACGCAAGGGTGTGCCCCGTTACAGAAACTGCGTAACTTTCATTGGCGAGGTCGCTTCTTACTATTTTTGCAGCGTGCCAATAAATATATTTACAGCACGCCAAAAATGTATTGTTAGCGCGCCAATCCACTACGTTCTAGCTACTTATTTTCTGCTCGTGTTGCTTGGTTGAACTATCCTACCGCTCCTCTGATCAGATATTTAACATGTGAACAGCTACGCGACTTTTACCATAGCTGCTAATGAATCCTGCTTTCAGCGGATTTCATTGAGTTGCAACTGAACTTGCCCACAGCGATGCCGATTGAACTGATAACCTCCGTAAGTGCGAAAGAATCGCGGTCCCAACGCTCCGTGCTGCTTCTTCGGAGCGACCGTGATTGTTAGTGGCTGCTAGCTGACCAAGGCTTCCAGTCCTACGGGTATCACCCGTCTCGACAAATTTTACGCTAGCAATCGGGCTTTGAATATTCAGAACCCCCTCACAAAGTCGTCAAAAAGTGAAAGGGGTAGTTGATACGGTGCGGGTGAGTAAAAGTTTAAACTTGTGGTTGGTGGGTGTATCTGCATAACATTAGAATCGAGCTGAAACCACGAACTGAAAGTTCTAGCCGCTCACTAATCCACAAAAATTGGTGTCATGAAGAAATGTTGATCGACAGTGTCTCATCGAGAGTATTGACGAGATCATCCTTACGTCTTACATGTCAGCATTTTACGCTCAGGGTGCTTCCTGGACTTGTTGTTGGCAAGCGCCATACATGTAACGGGGCTACACGTCGACTGGTAGTCGACAATAGGTGTGGTGCACACAAGGGATGGGATCCCCTTTTAAAGTGGTGTTAGAACACAGTATCAATTGTTGGAGGCTGATGTCTGCCAACCATTGATTACGACATCTTTTAAGAGGTTATTTAGAAAATTAGCGAGTAGGTTAAATACTTTGTTCTAAGGTGTTGTTCAGGTTAAAAGAAGAAATAAAATTCAGTTCCCATTTTGATCCGATAGACACGTGCCTCTTTGAGGCGTTTTGTGATCGTTGAGGAGATAGCAATGCCTTGTTAAGGCAGCTACTCCTTGTGCACTCTGTGTGTTGATTCTCTGCATCGTTCGGTCCCCCTGGAACAGAGACCGTAAGCTCTATGAGCTTGTTGAATCTTTGAGCCGCGTTCTTTGAACCAAACCCTAGCTCTCTGAGCTGTTGATTCTTTGCGGATGACCACTACGCCGGATAAATTTCCGGCCTGCAAGGCTTGGCTAAATTCGCCGTCAGACATTTCGTCTAGTTCGAAGAGATCGTCCATGGACAGAAGAGTTGCGAGACGTATGTTACCATCAACATGACCAATTACTTCATTAACAAGTGTATATAGTGTATTATTAACATTATTACTTCGTGACTTCTTAGACGTGGGGCGCTTAACAGTTGGCACCCTACGCTGAGATTGTTTTTTTAAAGAAACCTTACGCCTAGTAGAGGCCGGTACAGTTGGGTCCCCGTGGTTGCTATTCATCTTAGCACGCTCTATACTATGGCTCATGTCTTAAACGACATCCGGTGAAGAGTCACGTAACTCGAACACTTCACCCAGTGGATTTACACGTACCACTTTACGTACAGAATCCGGGCCTAGCCCTGAAAACTCTGGTTTCTCGCCAACAATGCCATTACCGACATTCAGTGAGGTGCCATCTCGGCCGCCCTCACTTAGTGGAATTTCACGTGTCACCCCACTCACATCAGAGAAATTATATTCTTGATGTCTCGGCACTAGGCCAACCATGCCTGCAGCATGCAGTGACTCAGTATCACAATGAGTATCACTCAACGTAGTACAATTCTCTTCACGTACGGGAAAAGAGCTCCGCCAATTTTAATGTCATTAATATTGGAGTAAATTAACTCTGACATACCAATGTCCAGCACATTGACATCTTCCGTCAATGGCTCGCGCCAACAGCGCTTTTCTCGCCTATCAAAGGTGGGTTCATGACTCTTCAAAGCTTCGCTAGGAACATTGCGCGTGGCGCCTAAGGTCTTGGACCTCCAATCAATCCATGGCTCATGGCGTTCAAGCCAAGCCATAACCAGGATGAGATCATATCTATAGTCTAAATCGAGGACAAGACCGCGTTCAATGCTGTCAATGTAACGGGGCTAGAATAATCCATTACTTAAATTACACTATTGTTTTGAGGAAGCTCAAAACCCAAGTCTTTGGTGTTTAGTATGTGTAACTCTGTTTTTATTTTTGTCTTATAAATCATCCTAAGTACGAATGGTTCCGTTGGACTCATGAAAACCACTCAATCTACGTGCCTATATCATACTGGCTAATAATGGTGCTGAGCCCATTAAACCAGCTAAAAGATACGACGTGCTACTTTCGCTACTTCGAACGTAACACCCCTACTTAAGTAACATGTAAACTTAATCGAAACTACTTATGTAACGGGGTGGCCCATTACATCACTTTCTTCTCAAGACAGCATTTACGAACCGTGAGTGCTCAACCACAAGACCCAACGACGCACAAGCCAAACGATGACTGAAGACGCAGACGCCAACACCACAGCACTCCCGTGCACAATCAGCGGGAGTTTAGTAGACCACGTGATGGATCAGCACCTGATACCTTGGGCGCTGTACGACTTGTCCGGAGCTCGAGCTCCGGACTCTCTCGAAACGATGCAGGACTACTTCCGGCGTTTCCGTGGGTTGCGCGGGTAGACTCTCGATGGCATCTCGTACGATTCGCTCGAGCGGTCTTGGTGCGCGTTCATTCGGCGGTGGAACCGGTTGCTCAAAGACGGAAGAAAATTTCATCAGTGG